TGAACACCCAGCTATTTATTCAGACCTAACTAGTGTACTACTTTGCTAGCGCATTAAATTGTAACCACTGGCTTCTGCTCTGACAAGATGGGTGTATTCTTTGTAGTGGAATAAAGCTAGGGAGCCCTGTGGTACTTGCCTTCCACAGTAAACTCTCTAATTAGATGTTTCAAATATGCTGCCAATTATTGGACTAAAAGGTTAGAAGGAAACATTAGCAGTGTTTGTGTACTTTTTTGTGTTTCTTGACCATTTATATGTGTACTTGGTGGAAATAAACTCTGGGTGGGGATAGCAGAAACAAAGCTAGAGTCACATCCATGGACAAGAGTATAAATCAAATCCCAGCCCCACTCCCCCTGTGTAGAAACCCCAGGACGACAGTCTGCATCACTCAGACTAGAGAAAAGTGTAGAGGCACCATGGAGCCCTGGACTTATCAGGTAGACAGTGAATGAGAGTCTGTATGATGGTGTTATTTTAGCACTTTTAAAGAGTCTGTTTTCTAGGCAGAGACTAGCATGTCTTTGAGTGCATGGTGTGTACCTCCTTGCTTTATTTCATTAAGCTCCTTGTTGAGATAAAGATGAGTTTTGACCAGGGGCTGAAACAACCAGAATTCATTGTAGGTATTAGCCTGCCTATCCACCTGTGGTACATGTGAGGGTTTGAACTCCCTGGTCCCCCCAAATGCCCCATCATTCATAGGGCACTGGCTTCTTGGGGATCCCTGGGTCTCACTGGTTGGCAGACACTGTCACTCAGTCACTTCCTGGATAGTGGATGAGGTAAATATTGTTTTGAAGATGACTTTGAAATATTGCTTTGGATCAATAAGAACATCATTGGTAGTCTTATAGCAATTGGATGAGAAATGGGGTAGCTTGGGCTTTTGTTGTTGCTGTGTTTGTTTGTTTTGGCATTGGGTTGCCATCTAGTATCAGGGCCCCACAGGGCTGGGATGCTCAGGATCAGGGAGGAATGAGTGAAGGACTAGGATAAGTACCTATGGCTTTATTTTATTTGAGTACAAAAACCAGGTTTGTTTTATTTTAAAGCTTTCTAAATTTCTTTGTAACACACTGCACCCAGTAGGTTATCTATAATATTTACTGAGTTAAACATGTACTTTTATGTCATTTGTCTACATTTCTTTAACCAAAAAATAAGTATCCATTGTATGAAGTGTCTGTTGGGAAGAGTTACTTCCTTTTTTCTGGTTAATTTTTTCAGTTTCACTGGGGCAAAATTGACAAATATAAACTTTGTATTAAGTATAAAACATGATGTTGATATACATGTATATTTTTGAAATGATCACCACAAAGTAGTTTATATATTTGTCAACTCATGTACTTATATTTGTATGTGTATGTGTGCGTACACACATGTTGAGAACCATAAATTTCTACCCTCTCAGCAAATATCAAACATACAGCACAGTTTCTTTAGTCACCATGATGTGCATTAGGTCTCCAGATTTTTACTCCTACCACATAATAGGAACTTAGTGCTTTTGATAGGCATTTATCTCCTCATTTCCTCTTTACCTAGCCCTTGATAACCACTCTTCTAATCTCTGCTTCTATGGATTTAACATTTTTAGCTTCCACATATAAGTAAGATCATTCAGTATTTCTGTGTCTGGCTTATTTCACTTAGCATATGTCTTTCAGGTTCATTCATGTTTTTATATATGGCAGGAATTTTTTATTTTTTACAGCTTAGTAATACTCCACTCATGATGGCCATACCAGTTTACATTTCCACTAGCTGTGTATAAGAGTTCCTTTTCAACTTCATCAACATTTATCTTTTTTTAAATTTATAATAAACATTCAATCAGGTGTGAGGTGATATTGTGGTAGAGTTGTACTTTTCTGATAGTGATGTTGAACATGTTTTTTTTACATATACCCATTGGTTATATGTATGACTTATATTGAGAAATGTTTATTTGAGTCCTTTGCCCTCCTTTTAGTTGGGTTATTTGCCATTGAGTTGTCTTGAGTTACTTGTCTATTTTGGATATTAATACCACATTAAATATATGGTTGGAAAAGATTTTTTTCCCATTCCATAGTTTTCCTTTCACCCTGTTGATGCACAGAAGCTTTTAGTTTGATGCAATTCCACTTGCCTTTGTTAGCTTTGGTTGTCTGTGCTTTTGGTGTCATATCCAAAAAGAGCACTACTCAGGCCAACATCAGCAAGATTTCCCCTGTTTTATTTTTGTAGTTTTATGGATTCAAGTCTTAGTTTAAATCTTTAATCTTTTTGAGTTTATTTTTGTGTATGGTATAACAGAAGTGTCCAATTTCATTTTTCCACGTGAGGATGTTTAGTTTTCCCAACACCATTTATTAAAGAGTTTGTCCTTTCCTCACTGTGCACTCTGTATACTTGTCAAAGATTGCCTAAGTATAAATGCATGGATTTATTTCTGGGCTGATTTTGTTCCATTGATCTACATGTCTAAATTCACGCAAGTACATTACTGTGTGGATTACTGTAGCTTTGTAAGATATTTTGAAATCGGCATATGTGATTCCTCCAGCTTTGTTTTCTCAAGATTACTTTAACTCTTTAAGGTCTTTTGTTGTTCCATATGAATTTAAAGATTTTTTTTTTCTATTTGTCTATTTTTTTTGTTGTTCCACATAAATTTAAAGATATATTTTTCTATTATTTGTTGTTCCATATGAATTTAAAGATATTTTTTTCTATTTGTCTATTTGTTCATTGGGGTTTTGGTGGGGATTGTATTGAATCTGCAGATTTCTTTGTGTAGCGTGGACACTAACAGTTTTAGTTCTTCCAATTGATGAAAAGGGAGTATCTTTCCATTTATCTCCATCTCCTTTGATTTCTTTCATCCAGTAATTCATAAATCTTTCAAATGTTTGATTATGTTTATTCCTAACTACTTTATTCTTTTTGCTGCTATTATATGTAGAATTGCTTTCTTAATTTCCTTTTTGGATAGCTTATTGTTAGTATACAGAAATGCCACTAGTTTTATCTGGTTGTGGTGGCACATGCCTAGAATCTCAGCAACATGGGAGGCTAAGGCAGAAGTATTGCAAGTTTGAGGCCAACCTCAGGAACCTAGTGAGTCCCTATCTCAAAACAAACAAGATGCTGGGGATGTGGTTTAGTGGTAGAGTGCCTCTGGGTTTAATCCCCAGTAACTGCCCCCCTCCCCCATATAGCGACTAATTTTTTATGCAGTTTTGTATCAAGCAACTTTCCTGGAGTAGTTTATTATTTTAACCATGTTTTGCTGTTATTGAATTTTCAGGATTTTCTACATATATGATCACATCATCTATACACGGAAAAATTTTCTTCTTTCCTTCTGATTTGCATGAATTCTTATTTATTTTCTTGGGCAGTGCAGTGCCTATGGCTAGGACTTCCAGTATTATGTTGAACAGAAGTAACAAGGGAGCATCCTTGCCTTATAAGTATCTAAGTGGAAATTTTTTTTTTCCCCTTTGAATATGATGTTAGCTGTGGGCTTTTCACATATAATTTTGATAGTGTTGAAGTTAGTTCCTTCTATTTTGTTGACAGTTTTTAAGTTATGAATGGATGTTGAATTTTGTCACTTGGTTTGTCTATATCAAGATGATTATGCCTTTTTATAAGGCTTATTTCTTTAATGTGATGTATCACATTGATTGGTTGGCTGAGTTGAACCATTCCTGCATCCTTTCATCCAATAATTGGATGAAACATGGTATATAATCTTTTTAATGTGGTGTTAAATTTTGTTTGTTATTATTTTATTGAGGATTTTTCATCCATGTTCCTCATGGAAATTTGCCTATAAGTTTTTTTGTGGAGTCTCTCTTTGTTATTAAGGTGATGGTGGCCACATTAAACAAGTTTGAAAATATTTCTTCTTCAATTTTTGAAAGAGTTAAGAAGCTTTGGCATTATTCTTTGAATATTTGGGAGAATCTTTTGAATACATTTGATTTAGGACTTTTTGGCAAGGTTTAGTTACTGAGTCAATTTCTTTGTTATTTGTTCAGGATTTCTGTTTCTCCTTGATTGAGTTTCAGTAGGTGCCGCAGTCTGGCTGGGCAAAAAATCACGAGCCACTCACAGCCTTGTAGATTCAAACAGCAATTCTTTATTCCTGAACTGTCACGGCACTCTACATGCACGTTCTGGGGAAAATCCACCTCCACTCGGCTCTGCATGACCAAATACTCTCTGAATCCCGCGAGAACTCAACGGGAACTCCAGGAGCAGGCAGGCGCCTGAGGCAGCAGGATACTCCCTATTCCCAGAGGATACACCCTAAACCTGGACCCACCCTAATCCAGCAGGATCCTCCCTAAACCCGGATCCACCCTGGTCCTTGAGCAGGGTCACCTTTCTCAAACATTCATGCAATGTCACTGCAAATGACCTGGGTCCAAGGCAAGCCCATTTCCACAATGGAGAGTCCTCCTTGTAAGCAACATTGGGTAGGCTGACAAAGAAATTGCCATGCGTCATTCCTACTTGGCAATGGCTCTCAGCAAGTAGGTTACATGTGTTTAGGAGTTTAGCATTTCTTCTAGTTCCCCAATTCATTGGTGCATTATTATTCATAAATGCTTAACAAATTCTGTAACTTAAAGCCTAGTTTTTCTTGATACATTATACTTACAAATCACTGATTTAGTGTCTTGTACCTATAAGTAGTATGATTTGTGTTATCAGGCTTTAGATTATTCAACTCAACATACTCATGGATTTACAACTGTTTTTCTCAGCTATTATGATTTTGATCAGCTATTATGATTCTGTTCTTTCAGTAATGTTGTTCATTAGCATTGAGAAGGGTAACATTGCTATACAATCATGCATAAGAAATTAATGAGCCTGTGTTGTGTTTATAAGCACGTCTAATTTCCTCACTCACCCATTTCTGCCCTTACTCAGTTAGGCAGAGGGAGAGTGCAGACATTCCTAATAATCATGATTTGTTTTCCCGTTTTCAGCCATGCAATGATGGACCTATTGGTTGAACTTTGCCTTCAGAATCACCTGAATCCTTCCCACCATGCCCTTGAGATCCGGTCTTCAGAAACCCAACAGCCTTTGAGTTTTAAGCCAAATACTTTGGTTGGAACCTTGAATGTGCACACTGTGTTTCTGAAAGAAAAAGTTCCTGAAGAAAAGGTGAAGCCTGGCCCACCTAAGGTGCCTGAGGTCAGTAGATGCCTATGTGTGATGAGAGGATATACATGGACACATGCCTATGAGTGAGTGTGTGGGAGATGCTGAGGAGAGCCTGCTTTGCTTTTTTAAATACCACATGCAGAAAGCTGTGGCTGAGGTTTCTGCTGCCATGCTGGGCAAAGGGTGCCAAATACACTGGGTTTATTATAGGCGATAGAATTTCCAGAATTTAATAATGTTCATTGTTGTAAAATTGCTCCTGTATGTATTATATTATAGAAAAGGAATTAATGAAGAACACAGCCATCCAATAGAACTGTCTCTGAAGCTGGAAATGGTCCCACATTCTACACTTCCCAATATAAGAGCCACTGGGCACATGTACATTTTGAGCACTTGCAATATGGCTAGTGTGACTGAGAAACTATTTTTTTTTAATGTTATTGAATTTTAATTAGCTATTGGCTATTAATTGGACTGTGCAATTTTGGATTGTGCAGTTCTGGAGTTCTTTCATCTCTCGGAAGTAGTTCAGATCTGTAAAAGATTTACCATCTCAGCTGGTCATGGTGGCACACACCTGTGATCCCAGCACTTGGAAGGCAGAGGCAGGAGGATCATAAATTTGAGACCAGCCTCATCAACTTGTGAGACCCTGTTTCAAAAAAAAAAAAAAAAGTGGTGTGGGGGTTGCTTGGGATGTAGATTAATGGTTAGAGAGCCACTGATTTCAATTACTAGTGTAAGGGACCGGCGAAGCGTCGGAGGGAGAGACCACCAAGAGACCACTCATGCAATTGGCAGAAGGGGATTTATTGATCCAGCATGCTAGGGCTCCGTGCCCACTCAAGAAGGGAGAGCAGCCCAGAGCAGGGGTTGTGCAATGCTTAAGTATACTTTTTTGGGAGGGTGGGACTTTACATACATCACAGTTTCCTTTAACAAATCATCATACACCGTGGGAAAATCAAACAACAATTCTGAGACATGATTAGTTCATTCATTGGCGGGAACAGGTCAGGCGGGGGTGATAGGTCAGTTCTAAAGCGGGGTACACATTCAAACTGATTGGTCCAGGCCCTGCGATGCCTACGTGCAAGGCCACACAGAGCCTTAAGTTATTAAACAACCAGGCAGTCAGGGGGAATATTTACTGGGCAGTTCGAGTATTGTCTTAACAGCTACAGGAATTTTAGGTTTTGCATGTAGCATAGGAACTTAACAATACCTGGTCCTTTACATTTTAACTCAGGCCTTGCATCTTAGAAACTTTACAATGCCTGGTCTTTTACACTTTAACTTCAATTTCTTTTACCCTTACACTAGTATGGGGAAAAAAAAGACTCTTACCATCTCCTGGGGGTGAGGGGGAGAGTCTTTTTGAAAAAATTTTCGTCAGAAATATTTACTCATTGCATTTGAAGAATATCTTATATACACAGCTTTATGCAGCCTTTTGATTGTTGATTAAAATTAATTTGTTTCTCATTGTACTAATAAGGTTTTGCCATGGATCTTTCAGTCCAGCTAAAAGTAGTTCCACTTCATTCTTTCAGATTCTTGGAAGATCTGAATTTTCTTGCTTTTAAAATGTGGCCAACAGTTTGTCTCCTTTGACTTTCTAGATTTCAATGATTAATAAATTCTTATTGTTAAAGGGGAACAGTGGGAGGGAGGAGAGGAGGAAAGAAGATAATATTGGGGATTGAAATAGAGAAAACTGATTTATGCTTAAATGAATATGTCAAAATAGGCCCCACTATTATGTATTATCTTAATATACTAAAAGGCAAATAAAAAAATGAATTCTAATTGTTGTCCTTCTATACTATGTCCAAAGAAAATTTCCCCTTATTCTTCAAATAAAAATCAATGTTCAACCCAAAAGAACCCTGTGGCTTCCCTCACGTTCTTAGTCCTTAGGGATAGTTAGGCCCAGGGTATGAGCATGAGTCTTCTTTGAGAAACCTGATGAGAATTTCATCTTTCCTCGTTTTCTTCTTTCTTCCTACATTCTGTCACTATTATGGCCACCAAGCCCTGCCACTCAGACCAGAAAGGAGCCTAAAGCTTTTCTCAGTCACTCTGTGCAACTCATGTTTACTCTGTTCACTTTCTTAGTGCCCTTGCACTATGCCGTGATCAGGAAGGCTGAATTACAGTAAACTGAGTGAAACTTTGAATACTATAGTTTTTTTGGTGGGCTACGTTATCTGCAGTCATTTAGAATTGGCCTTAGTCAAATTTATTGTTTTCTTCTTGATTGTATGTATGGTATTTGAAAAAGTTAGACTCTATTTCTGGCTGAAAATATGTGTATACTCCGTGTGTGTGTGTGTGTGTGTGTGTGAGAACACATACATATATAAATACACATCTATTTACATACTCTTACACATGTATGCATATGGTGTCTTATTTATATAAATACATATGTACATAAATATTCGTGTATTTATATGAATACTTTGGCTTCTTGAAAATTTTATGTTTTGTTTAGTGGGAATTTTTCTTTTAATGAAATTATTCATTCTACTTCCAAACTGTTTTCCTTTAGAAAGATATATATTTATGTTCAAATCTGGTCAGAGTCTTTGAAAGGCAGTATACGTATTGGTTTTTAAATTTAGAGCCCTCACTGACATCCATTTCCCTATGTTGCCTAGCAGCTTGTTAATTAGTAAGAGAAACTCTATAAGATAAATCCATTATTCTGGACATTTTTTTTCACTATTCATTATTCCATTTCCCTTGTGACTCACTGAATTTATGGAAGAAGGATTAGAGCTGCACAAAATCCTGCCACACTTAATTCTAAATTTAAAACAGAAGTTGGAGCTATTGTGGGAAGAGGTTGCTCATAGAATTCTTTGTCTCTGATTTATTCTTCCAGAAATCTGTGCGTTTGGTAGTGAATTACCTTCGAACACAAAAAGCTGTTGTGAGGGTGAGCCCAGATGTGCCACTCCAGAATATTCTGCCAGTCATTTGTGCAAAGTGTGAGGTCAGCCCAGATCACGTGATTCTGCTGAGGGACAATGTTGCTGGAGAGGAACTGGAGCTATCCAAGTCCCTGAATGAGTTGGGGATAAAGGAACTTTATGCCTGGGACAACAGAAGAGGTGAGACCCTGCTATGCTCTACACACCCTGCTTGTAGCCTGCTCCCTTTCCTTGTGACTATCTATAGTACTAGATGGAGATGGATATGTGAAGTGATAGGCAACTCAAAATTTTGTCCAGGGTTGATATGGGCAAAAGAGAACTTTGGCCTGCAAAAGAAATCTGGCTGTTTTTATTCCCCTCCACTGTGATTATGCCTCTTTCCTCCCAGTTACAACTTTTACGTTCTGTCTCTTTGTGAATGTCAGCATAAGTTAAAGCATAAACAGGTGCTCTAACCCTGCAAAAACCACATAAACATAGTGTTGATTTTTCTTTTCAGTTTTCATTGCTGCTCCCAGATTTCAAACAGTGCTTATATCAAGACCAGTATCAAAATGCATTTAGCTATTCTCTTAAACTGACCAAATTACAGTCCATGAGATCAATTCCTGAAGACAGCTTTAGGTACCCTCTTAGATTCCTTACCCTCATTGCCAGATATCTTACTGTGATGTCATTTTGGTACCTTAGCATGAGTCACAATTAGAGCCATTGGTGATTGGCAGTCCCTAGGTTGCTGTTGGTACAGACATAAATATATTATGTAAGCAGATTTTTCTGATTGATATAAAGAGCTGACTATGTAGCTAAACCACTCTCAGGCAAAAAGATAATTTATAATTCTTGACCCTACAATTTTTAAAATGAACTTCATTAAAGTTTCTGTTTTTCTGTTTTAATGAGCCTCATTTGATAATTGATGGCCATTTTATTTGTTCCAAAAATATTAAGTAGGCTAGACTTTTAAAATAGATGTATAATAAAGCTTTTCATGATTTGTTCTTTTTTTTTCTATACCTTTTTTTTCCCTTATTTCTTTCAGTAAAAATGGTTTCTGCTTTTTGTTTGTTTGTTTGTTTGTTTTTTCAGCTGGGCACAGTGGTTCATGTCTGAGAAGCTGAGGCAAGAGGACCCTAAGTTCAAGGCTAGCCTCGACAACTTAGTGAGATCCTCAGCAACTCAGTAGGGCCCTGTCTCAAAAACTAAATAATAAGGGTTAGAAAAGTAGCTCAGCAGTAAAGATTGAACCTTAGGTTCAATCCCCAGGACCAACCCACCCACCCTACACCCCACCCCACCCCAGGAAAAAAAGAAAAAGCAAATCCACAAATCCCCCCTGTACTACTTCTTATTGCTAAAGGTATTGTGAAATCAATGGTCATAAGTGGGATTCCTCTCCAGTTTATACCTCCTCCCAAATCAGCCTAGCTTCTGAGTCCTTGGGTCTTATTTGACAGTTAAGAGAGGGTTTTGGTCACATAGGGTATAAAATACATGGGCTATTTATTCCCTTAAAAAATACTACTATGACATTTGAGAATAATGGTCTTGTGTTTTGTCCAGTATTTTTTTTTTTTTTTTATGGTGTTGGGATTGAAGCCAGAGCCTCGCACATGCTAAGCTGTCCAGTATCTTTTTAAAACAGACAGTAATACTTCAGCATCAGCCACACAGACTGGGTTACTGTGTGTATATTTGTCTGGATATATCTGCTTTATTTTATTTTGGTTTATGTGACTCTTTGAAAACAGGGCTTTCATTTGGTAAGATAAGAAAGAAAGAAAAAAAAAAGAAAAGTAAATGGAAAAAGCTACATTTAGGAAGCTAAAAGCAAAAGGGTTTCACAAATGAGTGTTTCCATTATATTCCCACAGTTGGATACATCTTGAAAGGTATAGAATATGGTTACTAAAAAAGTCATACAAAATCTGCTTTTCTGTTAAGCAGAGGACCCAGCAGGCCCGTGAATATCTGCACATGAGAGTCAAAGCCCTCCAATGTGTCAGCAGGCTAACACCTTGTGATTTTGTGTTTTGTGATTCACAGGCAGGGCCAGGCATCAGGACACATGGTGCAACCAACTTGGATTTTGAAGCACCTCTGTCTTTGAGGGAACTAGCTGCTCTTAAACCCCCAAATCCTACTCTCATTTCCCCAGCTCATGGGAAAGACATGCTCCAACCCCATGACCAGGTTGATTTCCTTTAACCTAGATTAGGCTAGTTGTCAGTGCTTGATAATCATCCCTGCCACAAGCTTTCACATCTTTCTATTAACCATCTGATATCTTAAAAGAAAAGAAAGTCTTCCAGAGGGGTCCCTGAGGTTCCCTTTCTATTTTGTAGCTGAACTGGAAGGACTTCCAGGGCCTGATGGAGCAGCCTCTCCTTTGTCTCTCTTAATTTACACTCAGGATGGCCACCTGCTCCTCCCTAGCCCTGCAAATGCTGGAGATCCCAGAGGACAGCTGGTGTGGGAAGGAAGAGCGACTCTGCTGGCAAAAGCCTGCCCTCTGGAATCCCAGGCAGTGGTATCTTGAAAAAGCCTGAGGCTTTGCTGCCACCTAGGTCCACAAGTAGGCCAAGCAGCCTGCACAGCTGCAGGTCCTTGGGAGGACAGACCTGGAGAGGCAGGCACCATTCTCACATCAGGCCTTGACACTGCCACATGCACATGTGTAAGTCCATCCAAGGCTTTAGGAGAGGCCAGGGCTCTGTAGGGTGTAGCTCAGGTCTACAAGCTGGTCCTCACTTTCTCTTGCCTGCCTTTTCTAGTTCTTCTGACCAAAACTCAGTCCGAGCCTTCCCTGAGTTTCAGAGGTACAGTGAGCCTGCAGGGCTGCACTTTGCATGGCTCTGGGCTAGGAAGATGCATGGAGGTGATGTTTTTGTGTGAGACTTGAAGGAAATGAGTATGGCTTGCAACACCTCTGGGGATGTGAGTCTTGCCTGGTTGACACAAGGTTATGGTTTGATTTCTTTGTTCCCTGGTTAGTTCAGAGAAGAATGTCCCTTGTGTGAGAATTTGCTGTGAGCCTCTAATTGGTAAGTAATGAGGGAGGATGTTGTAGCACATTCTATTGCCCACAACTTCAGGTCAGAGCAGAAGTGATAGGTGCTAAAAGAGCACTGATGTATTTTTATTTCTGCTTGCCTGTATTATCTATGAGCTTACCTGTCCTCCAGGACCATCCTGCATGCAGCAGAATTCTCAGTATTAACTTTAGCTATTATAGCAACTATGCAAATGATTAGTCCAGATTTAGCATGTATTTTGACACCTATTTCTTAGAAATCTTTTTTCTTTCTCCACCTCTTTTTACACATACATACACACATACATACTAAACATATACATATGCATATATATGGTATTTTCTTGAACAAATATATATAGTTATACATATATTTATATATTCATGCAAAAAGTTTGTTAGAATCCCAGGCTCTTTGCATTCTACAGAATTTTTTCCATGCTTGTTACAGTACTTGACAGTAGATTTTATTTCCAGAAATAAAACTTTTTGAAAGAAACTCAGCGTTGGTCTGGAGACATCCTTGATGTTCTGATATGTAATTGATGTACTTCATCAATAATACAGAAGGAGGTTAAAAAGATAAGCATTCTTTGTTAAGAAACACCATGAAAAAGCAGTTGTTGTGAGCAGGACACTCACATATATGAATGCAGGAGTTGTTATTGAATGATTCTACTTGGGGGTTTGGACTGACTAAGGATTGGGATAAGGTGAACTGAAGGGCTTTTTCTTTATTACCCTGAGTGCAGGTAGCCTAATGATGTGGCTGAAACTTAGAATGCCCATGGGTCTTCCTTTTCCATGTGCTGCTCAGTAGTCTTGTTTTCTGGCCACTGAACTGCCCTGATTTTATGTTCTCTTCTTGACAAATGAATGATTTGGACTAATTGGTCTTTCAGAGTTCCTTCAGTTTTCTATACCCCTTGTACCCCTCAGTTCCTCTTTATCATTTCCTGAAATAATTTTAGTGCTTCCAAACAGGAAGTACTTTCTTATAAATTAAATATGATCCCTGCAAAATACTTTTATTGATGTTTAATTTCTTATAAAATAGACTACATTCAAACAAAATAAATTTTATGCTCAAATGATCACCCTTGGAAACTGTGGATTCTAGGTCTTAAATGTGTATGTTCTCCAGGCTGAACTATGTATTTGTTGTTTATGCTGTTCTGACAGCATAGCTTCCTGTAGATATTCTGCCTGATGTAAGTCCTGAGTTCTCTTGCTTTGCTCTAAACTGACCCTTCTTCCATGACTCCTGAGCCTCAGGGGTTTCTCAGGAGCCTGTGCTCTAAAAATAGACTGTGTGCTCTAGATCCCAGCTCAGGACTCTGAGTTTTGAGCCCCTGCCACATTCACGTATCCATAGGCTCTAACAGCTTGATATGTGCCTCCCCAGTCTCAGTTCTGGAGCCAAGCTACCACAGTCTTGTGACCAGCCACTATTCCTGTTCAGGGATAGAAACAAGAGGTTCAATTTCATTGCAGTTTTCTGGACTGGTCTATTTAAAAAAAATTTTGTTTTTAGTTGTAGATGAACATAATACCTTTATTTATTTGTTTTTATGTGGTGCTGAAGATTGAACATAGTGCCTAACACTTGCTAGGCAAGCACTCTGCCACTGAACCACAACCCCAGCTCCTAGTCTTATTATTTTTGTGGTTGGTGTAATATGGCCTGTGTGCTAGTAACACATTCTCATTTCATTTTTGGGTACTACATTATCATACATTTTAATATATCCATGTCACACATCATTCAATTGTAGAAACCATATAGACTAGAAATATACATATTAATTTATGCTGTAGTTTAGGTATGGTATTACTCTATGGTATGTTTTATCTTAATAGCTAATTTATCTTTTACTGTAACCTTAGTAAAAGGTTTTTGTGTGACCTTCAAGTGTGTGTGTGCACATGCATCGGTCTGTGTAGTTGCATCTTGTGATATGGGTCCTCTGGTTTGGATGTTGCATGATGTGCTGCCCACTAATCTCCTTGGTTAGAGCCTTGCATGTAATACAGATCCCTGACCCTGGTGAGCTAAACAGGAGCCATTGTTCTCTACAGATTGGTTTAAAGAACATGTACACTTGGTTTCTGCTTCGTTGGGTAGATGGCCTTAATGGTCATGCATATTTTATTAATGCACCTACTTTTATGTCTCTTCTCTAACTCAAATATGAAATTATATATTAGCAGATAAAGAAGTTAATGAATGTTTACCATGTTTGGGTTGGCTGATATACTGGTGGTAGGTATGTAATATCCCAGTCCATGATTTTTCCACTAGTGGATTAGAGGTCTTGCTGTCTAGCAGTTGGCAGTGATATGGGAAAATTCATCTTTTTATCCTTCAGGAACACCTTAGTTTTCCCTCATATTGTCATGTCTGTATGCCTTGGAAGAGAAGAATGGATGAATAAGTGGCACAGCCATAGAATAGCCTTTGCAAGCAAATCAGTGAGTGATAATAATCAGTAGTCGAGATAGAGCTGTGTATGCTAGTGACTAACACAGTTCCTCATGATGAGCATAGTTACCCCCAACCTGCAGATGAATAAACTGAGGCTTGGAGAGACTAAACCGTTTGTCCAGTTGTGCTTCACAAGTATGTCTCTGTACCTTTACACTGACTTTTCAGGTGTCCCTCAGAGCTCACTTTGGTGTTTTTTAAACAGTGTTGGAAACTCTCCCAGAGTTTCTGATTCTGGATGTCTGGAACGGGCCTGAGGATTTTATCTCTCACAGGTTTCTGTGATGCTGATGCCTCTTGTCCTGCCTCATGAGAACCACCCTTGATTGCTGATCTGCTGCCTGCCAAGTCTAGGCTTTATTGTCCTCTTCTATAGCTAAAAAAGAGCCCATCCTAGCTCTAAAAATCCTGAGGAAGAAAACACCAGAAAGAGAGATCAAGGGCTTAGAGCTCAACAATCAATTAATCACTAAATAAATTAAGTAAAAGAAGATGAAGAAAACAATTGGTTTACTAGGGAATGTAGCTTAAAAGGAAAATGTTCTGACTACAACAGTGGAAAGAAAATCTGGAAATGAGGGTCCTGGAGATCTGATGTGATTGTTTCAAATACCACCTGGGTAAACTATCACTGGTATTCCATGTTCTAGAAATGAACAGGAAGACTCTGTATTTATTTTTGGTTAGCATTTTTACCTCACTGATGGTTCTTAAAGCAGATGTTTTACACTAAAGGCATAGTCTTTGGAGCTGTGCTGGTTAATTGGGCAGCCACAGGCCACATGTGACTCTTGGACACTTCAAGGTGGTCAGTTCAAGCAGAGATGTACTATCATCCTGAGGCAAACACTGGATTACATCAAAAGAAATGTAAAATATCAGTAGCTTTGATATTCATTATGTGAAAAATAATATTTTATATATATTAAATCAAATGAATGTATAGTGAAAATTAATTTCATCGTTTTTAATGCTGCTACTAGCAAACATAAAATTACATTTATGCTTCATATTAGCTTTCTATTGATAGCACTTCCCTATTTTTGTTGATTTACTTACTTACTTTTTAGTATCCAGAAGGGTCTAAGCATACCAGAGACAATTCTACCTCAAAAAAAATATGTAAGACCTTTAAATGCTTTCCTAAATTGGTCTTAGAGCTTTGATGTGGCTCCAAGAAAGAGTTGGTGATTTACCCCTGTAGAAGATCTAACAGCTTAAGAATAAAGGATTTACTTAAGGTTTTTTAAAGTATTTAATCTCTTATTTCAAATGTTGAAAAATAACTTAGTATGTCTTTTTTCCCCCCCCAGAAACATTTAGAAAATCATCACTTGGCAATGATGAGACAGATAAAGAGAAGAAAAAATTTCTGGGATTTTTCAAAGTTAATAAAAGAAGCAGTAGCAAGGTAATGGATTGCATATGCACATGACTTTGCATAATGTAAAACAGTGTCTGAAGATGCTTATGTCACAAGAGTTCTTTCCAGAGATGGGACCTCAACTCAAGACAAATGGGGTCCTTGGCATATGTTACAGAAAAGAATTTCTGAATGTGCCAGTCCAAGACACAGACACATTTATTTAGGAAAGGAGATAAATATTAAGAGGGGAATATGGGCTGTCTTTATAGTAAAAAGCAAGGAATACATATTCAAGAGATAATGGGGACAATCTCCAAAGTGAGAAGCAGCACACCCTTGTTGTAGGGTGTTAATAATTATAGAGGAACAATGGATAGGGGCTGAACTAGAAGTGGAGTCTACATAATTTTGTGCCAGTGTTTCCTGTGTTTATGTATCGCCCTCCTGGCATGTTACATTTTGCAGGCAAGGACAGGAGCCTAGGTCATGGATTAAGGATTTGAGTTGGGTTGCTCACCTGCTTTCTTATTTTACATTTTGACAGTTCATGGGTTTTTGTAAGGGTTATGGATACTTCTTTTTTGAGACTCAGTATGCCTTTCTTTTTCTGTATTCCTGAATTTCTACCTCACTCATACTGAACCTATCTTATGATTTTTAAAAATAATCATATTTAGGAATATTAATTCCTTCAAGTAAAAGGAATGTGTGGAATGAGTGGCTTTGTGCTTCTACACTTGATCTCTAAAGCAGTTAGGTATCTAGAAGGAAGATGTTTCACTCACTAGTGGAACAAGAAACCTGTGGGCCTGAGGCCAGGCTGTGAGCCCTTCTCCTGCCAGGTATATACTCTGACCTGGTGTGCGGTTGAAGCACAGTACATACCTTAGGATGGGTGAATGAATGAATGCACATCTTAGTTCAGTTGAAACACAATGGTAAATATTCCTTCAAATAAGTTATAGCATCGAAACTTAGCATGTGAGGTATCTAAGAGCTAGCGTTAAGGCCACTTTGTAACCGAGTCCCTTGTCAAACTAGACTGTTTGCTTTTGATTAGATTTTTAGGTGGTATTTGGTCTTCATTATATAATTTGGGACTATACCACATGAGAAGTTAATTTAAGAATCTTGTTATTATTTCTTAAATAAGTCTTGAAAGTCATATTTCAGATCAAATGTTATAGCATTAAATCATAGTTCAAAGAGTAAAAATGAAGATTTTCTTTCTAATCAGTTATAAGAGTCTCAAAACCATCTAACTAACTTTCAGAAAAGAACATACTTATTATCCCTATTATATTTGTTTATAGGCATATTTTACTAATATCCAGTTAGACACCCCCTACCCCCCAACTAAAGTTGTTGCATTGAATGGTAGGCCTTGATACCGTCAGCTTAGCTGGAAAGTGTCCTCCATCAGTGTACTTGGAAGAGGTGACAAAAAAAGCTCACATTCATTCAGGTGCCTTCTGGCCATTGAGGAGATCTGTACTCCTTTGCATCTGTGGCTGAGGCTGCACATCTCACTTCCTGACCATCAGAAACCTGAGGAGTTGGAACTATGATTCACCCCGGGCTTGCTGATGAGGATGCTCAAGTTCAAAGAAGTAGTATAGCTTGCTCAGGGTCCCAGGGTTAGGGGCAGGTCTTTGACCAGAAGCCAGGCAACCCCTCCCCGCTGGTGGTGGTTGTTAGGAAATGGGAGATTGGAAGTTAGGAAGGAGTAGTTTGAAGGGGAAGGTGTGGTGAAACCCAGGCTGAGCCAGCTGAGACCTCCTGTCTTTAGACCTTCTTAAAACCTCAGCTTTTGGTTCTTCATCTACCTGATGCTTTGGTAGTAGTTTTGTTATTCCCTTGTGTTTACCACCCATAATATGTGCTTCTTCCCTTTTTCCTGTGTGTCCTTTGAAAATTTGTATTCGATGTGTATCTTTCTATGTAAGATCTCTGAGCCTTGAGCATTTCTCTCTTTTCCTTCTCTTTTTCCCTCCCTACTCCTCTCTCTCTCATTCCCTCCTTCCCTCTTTTCAATGCTTCCCTCTCCTCTCTCTGCCCTCCTGACCTCTTTTCCTTTCCTTTCAGAATTACTTGAAGTTGCAGAATCAGAATTTTGTGTTTACATTTTCCATCACTTCATGAAGTTTATTGGTGTTTCTAAAACTGTTGTGAGAGATTTGCTTATACTATATTCAGTGTCCTCCTTGGTCTTCACATTACCACTTCACAGTAAACCCCTCCCTATCCTCATTCCTCATACTGAGATACCAAACACTCATTCTGCATTTTCTTCTTTCTGAGAGATGAACTAGGAGCAAAGCAAGTCAAAGATATAGGAATACTTTTGTTTTGGCACAATAAGAGTTTAAAGAGCTGGAGACTTGGAGATCAACTAACATGGCTTCTGGGAGTTCATAAGGGGTTCCTGGTAGACCCCAGCAAGTCTAGTCTGCTCATTATAAGGGGATTTTCTTTATGTCATACCTATCTTTCCTCTGTTTTGGACTTAGTAAAATTATTTTTTATTTCCTTCATACTTCATCTTTCATTTATAACTTTCTCTTAATTTTATTTTACCTAGGCATCCCTTTTTCAGTCTTGTCATGATTGGATTATTTGTTCTGTGTGGTTTTTTTATGGTTAACTTAAAACAAAAAAAGTTTTGTGCTAAACTTCTTAACTCCTTGTTTTTCTCCATTTTTATTGTTTGAGATTTGGTGCTAAATATAACCTCATCCCCTAGGAACTTGATGAAAAAGGTATTATCAGTTGCATTATGTGGGTGAACAAACTAAGGTTAAGCAATTTCTTTATGTATGATGTAAATCTAATAACAGTACTCATAATTGTCAGAATTCATAAACATTGAAAGTTAAACCCAGGCCTGACTTTCCATAATCCTTGCTAATAACTTCTATTTACATTGTACAGTCCTTAACAAATATAGGTTTCAGTGTCTTCAATAATAAAAAGACTTTGGAGTAAATAGATTTAGAAATTATTTCTAAGGGCTGGGGGTATTGCTTAGTGGAAGAGTACTTGCCTAGCCTGTTTGAGGCCTTGGGTTCCACCTCTACTACCACAATAGAAAAGACAGATTTCTAAAATCCTGTGATGCCACATAATCTGCATGTGACTTAATAATGAACAAACTCTTGGAGAATTATCAGAACATTTAAAACTAAAGTGACATTTGCTATCACCTTTAAGGAAAAAAAAATACATACCTGTGTGGGTGTTGGGAATGTGTATGAATGTGTGTGTGTGTATGAATATGTGTGTGTGTGTGTGTGTGTGTGTGTAAAATCTCAGTAAAGAATATACTTGAAGGGACATAATTTGGGGACAAATGAGGGCAAACATATTTTTTTGTTTTGAAATTTTGTGTTTTAATATGTTTAAAGCATGAGAATTTTGTCATTTTTAAAAATATTTTTATTATTTTTCGGTGGACACAACTTTTTTTTTTTTTTATAATGTGGTGCTGAGGATCGAACCCAGCACCCCGTGCGCATGCCAGGCGAGCGCGCTACCGCTTGATCCACATCCCCAGCCCAGAGTTTTGTCATTTTTGACATTATTTATTCTCCTAAACCAATGGTTCAAAAGTACTTCAGAGGCTGTTTAAGACCTATCGTGAAAATTGTATTCTTGGGTTTTGTCCCCAAAGATTCTCATGTGGGAGGCCAGGTTCAGGCCTGGAGATTGAATTTTGCAGTTATACCCCAGGTGATTATATGGCCAATGGTGTATTATCATCTGCATTTTGTCGATAAGGACTGATATATTTGGTGACTTATTCATGTCTTTTCTATTAGCTATGCAGACATTAAAACTTTGAAATCCTAAAAATGTAATTAATTAATTGCTTTGCCTAGATAATTCCATCAGTTCAAGCCCACTACTGTTTGAAAATTGCATATTTTAAAAGTTAAAGGAGATGCTTGGCGAAATAGAAAGAAAACATGTTTTTATGAGTTTTGGGTTTAAAAATTGTGATTTTTCAAATCCGGGAGCCCTGTGGTTAGGAGTTGTTTTAAAACAGTTTTCAAGTTTAAAAGGTGAAGGAAGTGGCTTGGATTACTACCACAAATGCAGACTCTGAAGCTTGGAATTGGGGCCTCACTGGCCTTTTTGGCCTCCATGATTGCTATGGAGGGCTTTGCTTTTTGTTCGAACTTACTTCCACCTGGAGTTGATGGTGGGATGCTTATCTGTATTCCAGGCTGAGCAGCTTGGGCAGTCAGGCCCTGACAGCGATGAGGACACCTCGAAGTTGGCTTCAGGAAGGGGCATGAATGTAAGTACTAACAGCCAGCAAGTGCCTCTGCTAACCCAATGGAACTTCTTTCTCCTTGCTTTGCACTGCCTTCCAGACAATGCAATTACAGACTACTTTGGTTTCATTTGGCTTGACTTTTGTGGTCTGATAGATTCACAAAGCAGCATATAGCTTCTTTCTTAGTTGCCCACGCTATTTTTGGAAAACGTAGAGTATTTTAGTTTCTCTTCTTCTCTTTCCCTATCAGCAGGATCAAGAGTATCCCTCACTAGGTTAATTGAATTTATACTTTCTGAAATTATTTTCATGCATTATCAGAAGTAGCCTGATGGTATAGAAAGCCACACAGTCCTGTTTTTCTCAAAGAATATTTTTAAAGTGGCTATGCCCTCATAATTGAAATTTGGCATATAAAAAAACTTCCTTGTAATTTTAAATACTTGAAAGAATATAATTCATGATATTTTATAAATTTTGACATTTTATACATATCTAATTAAAGTTAGATATTTTCCCATTAAAAGTTACCTGAACAAACTTTTCCATATCAGAATAAAATTTTGCATTATTAGTTTATTTTTCACATTTCCACATCAGCCCTTGTCAAATTTTATTCTATTCAACATACATTTTACACTCAAAAATCTTTTATAGAGACTTGAAATAAAACATGATATAAAAAATCTAAATTAAATTTTGTCATTCCCCCATCATAAATCTATAAAATATTTTTTCTGGATTAAGTTCTTTTAACAATTGTAAAGTAAATTAAAACATTCTAAATATATTTGTTGATACATAATTGTTAAACACAAAGTAAATTTTTCTTGAAAAGATGTTTCTTAATAAAATTACGGTTTTTTATTTATTCCATTTATTGATGAACAGGATATATTAATAAAACTGGAAAGGCTCAACATTAATTCTATTTCTCCTTTCAGTTTTATTGATATAAGCTCCAGGAACATTTTATGTAAATAGTGTATGAAAATGGAAAAGTTTTGTTATGTCAGTACATTTCAATTCTTTTGGAGTCTTTCAAGATAATAGACCAAAAGCAAAGTGCTCTGTGATCAAAATTATTTTTAATGTTCTCCTAGCCATGTGTAGTTGTCTTTAAAATTTGTCATTAGCCAAGATTTGGAATTATTGAGTTCTGGGAGGTATATGAAAAAAATACAGTATCAAGACTTCTCTGATGATCATTATACTCATTGTTCTTTTGCTAATAGATACTTTCTGAACCATATATTTCATCAGTAATTTTGTAATTTTGTTAGCTTTTACTAATTTTTGCAAATACGTGTGTTTTAATGATTTTTTAAATTGTTATTTTAAACTGGGAATCTGTTTTTGTCAAGAGCTTGGATTTATATTTAACAAAATGTTGGGTTAATCAGATTAAACTCATTCAGTTTATGGAAAATCTCTGTCACATAAGCTAATTGGGAAAATAAGCCCATTTTGTTGGACCAAAAAAAAAAGGTCAAATTTACTTTGGTTCCCAAAAGTCTAATTATGCTTTTAAATGTAAGTTACTAAGATGTACCTATGATAAGTGATCTTACTTTGCATCCAGAAGGTTTGTTGATATAATTTCCTTGCACATTAATTTAATGCTTTGCATTTAATGTCATTTCCCCTAAACTTCTATTGGCCTCATTTTAATGCACTGTGGGAAAATTAGACCTGAGTTTTCGTTACAATCAATCTTGTTGGTGAATGTTTTCAGTCTTAAGGATTTAATGTATGTACTGGAAATAAAGGCCTATCTTGAGCCCGTGCATTGAGCAGCTGTACATAGATGTGTTCATGACCTTTTCCATGGGAACCCATATCAGCGTGAATGAAAGCTTGTAAAGAAAATCTCTTCCTTTTCTTTCTTCCTCCTCCTCCTCCCCCCTTTTTTTTAACCTACTGGGGATTGAACCCAGGGGTGCTACATCCCTAGCTCTTTCAATTTTTAAATTTCAGACAGGGTCTTGTTAAGTTGCTGAGGCTGGCTTCAAACTTTGGAGCCTCCTGCCTCAGCCTTCTCACTGGCTTTTTTAGGTGTAATCTTAAGCACTTCTTTTCCTGAACTAATCACACCAAGAAATGCTGTTTTCTCTGCTATAAAACAGACTTAAATTGATTTGAGGATGATTTGATATGCTCTTTGACTCATTAGTGTGTAGGGCTTGTTTTTCATTATCCTCAATTTCATCCAAGAACTGTTGGAAAACTTTTCAGTATTTCAGATACTCTACAAACTTCTTGTGTTTCAGTAGGGAATCTATTTAATTTCATTGAAGGACTTGGCATCTGGTACCTTTTGGCTATTATAATGTAACCAAGTATTATAACTTTTTCTACAGAAATGAATGTCATCATAAATTTTATAGTGAGCAGTGCTAATTTGTGTGAGTTGTTTCCCCCCCCCCCCCTCCGCCACATAGAACAGAAGAATACATTCATGACATGGATAAATGGATGTATGTATGGATACAAAGATAGATAGTACCTAAGCAAAAACTTTATAGGAATTATCCAAAACAGTATGAGAAAAAGTATAAAAAAATTCTACAAATATATAGAACAATAGAACTGCACAAAATGGAAACTCATGCTGCTTTTTTTTTTTTTTTGGTACCCGTATTGAACTCAGGGACACCCAGCCTTATTTTATATTTTATTCAGATACAGGGTTTCACTGAGTTGCTTAGCATCTTGCCTCTGCTGAGGCTGGCTTTGAACTCGTGATCGTCCTGTCTCAGCCTCCAGAGCCTCTGGGTTTCCAGGCATGTTCCACCATGCCTGGCTTATACTGCACTTTTAGCTAGGATGACTCAATATCATTATATCACTGAGGTTTTGTTTTAGAACTAAATAAATTGATTATAAAGTTTACTAGAATAATAAACATGCAAAATTAGCCTGGAAAACTCTGAAAAGCATGAGGGATGGATAAGCCTTACTAGCTTTTTTGAATAGATTTTAAAGCCTTTCTTAATTAAAATGGGTAGATAGTGCAGTAAAACAATAGAATAGGAAAATCTAACAACAATTACATACAGAAACATGGTATACAAAGAAATCAGTCTGCATATCAAGTCAGTGGAGGGAAATGAACTTATTAATAGATAAAGTTGGGATCATTGAATAGCCATTAAAAATAAAACTGTATATTTTCACAGAATATGCCAGGAAAAAAATCAAGTGGATCAGAAATTTAAATGTACAGATTGAAACCATGCATATTACTAAGCAGAAAGCTTAATTCATCTCTAAACTGAGAGTGGGAAATATTTTCCTAATAGGACTCAAAATCCAGATGTGGTAAGGAAAAACATTGATAAATTAGACTTGAGGGAAAAGGAACAAAAAAATCTTCTTGAATGACAGAGGGAAAGAGAAAGAAGAAATAGTATTCTAAAAGTAAAAATTCAAATGCTAAGAGGATGAGTAGCTTTTAGAAAGAGAAGATGATGACATCCTGCCCTAAATAGGTATTAACAAAAGATTCAGAGAAAACAAACAAAAATTGATCTATAAAAAATGTTTAGATTTACACATAATGATGAATGTTAATTACCTCTATAATAAACTTCCAAGTATCTCCTATTAGACTGGCAACCCCAAAAGTTTGTCAATAAATTCTGTTGACTAAGCTATGGGACCCTTATATATGTTGCTGAGAATAATGCAAAATGCTATAACATTTATAGTGGGGAATTTGACAATATCTAGCCATATTATACATGGGTTTACTCATTGGCTGAGAAGTTCTATATTTAAAAATCTGTCAGAAAAACTCACTGGCAAAAATCTAAAATGATTCATGCACAAATTATTTATTATAGTATTATAATAATAAGAGATAAAATGACTGCCTCATCAGTAGGGGATTGGTAGATTAAACTATTGTATAGTCACATGGTTGAACTACTGTGAAGTATGAAAGAGGAGGCAGGAGATCATTATACACTGATATGGAATGTGCTCTAGGATGCATTTTTTTCTATTTAGAAATATTAAGTGTGACTCTTCTGTAAGTCAAAGTCCATAAATGAAACTTCAATGTGGCAGATTATTCATTGGCTTGGACCTAAGAATTTAATGATTTCAAACTTAGGGAAGGACTATACGTAATAAAACAATGATAGCTGCTCTGACCTTAACTGCCATACCAATCCTGCCTAGTTTAGGCACTCATTATATGATTTCATTTAATCTTCTTATATAGACAGAAAAATTCCATTTCCAGAAGCTGATTGGTTAATCCAGTTCATTGACATGTTTGTTTACCATGTTCCTCTTCTATCAAGTGTGTTGATGATATAACCTTTCTTTCTATTTAAAAAAAAGTTTTCCCCTCTGTGTGTGTGGTACTATAGATTGAACCCCAGGGGCACTTTACCTCCGTAGGCCTTTTTATTTTTAATGTTAAGACAGAGAGTCTCACTAAGTTGCTGAGGCTGTTCTGGAAATTGCCATCTTCCTGCTTCAGCCTCCCAATTAATGGATTATAGGAGTGTTCCACCAAGCTCAAATATAACAGTTCTTAAAGCCCTCTAGCCAAGCACTGTGGCACACACCTATAATCCCAGCGGCTCTGGAGGCTGATACAGGAGGATCCCAAGTTCAAAGCTAGCCTCAGTAAAAGCCAGGCACTAAGCAACTCAGTGAGACCTTGCTCTAAATAAAATATAAAATAAAGCTGGGGATGTGGCTCAGTGGTCGAGTGCCCCTAGTTCAATCCCTGGTATTCCACACCTGCCCCCCCAAAACACTCTACTAGTTGTTTCTATAAAAATTTTTATTGACTTCTAGTATGCAGATTTTTTTGATCCGTACATCCTGAATGGACTCAGAATGGGAAGGCATTAGCAGGCATAGTCAATAGGAACTTTAGTAGCTTTCAAAATCCTCCCTTTTAAGGGGTCCAGAGGCAACTCTTCTCCCCACCCCTCTACTGTGTGCTCTGTGAGACTAACTCCTAGTGTGTAGATCCAGTGATAAAAGGTAAACCAGTTCCT